TACTTAACACGGCCATTTTATTAGAATATTATAAGTTTGTATTTAACCTAAACAGGTCCAATGATCCACTGATATAAAATCATCAGAAAGTAAAATTTGACATTTTGAAATACACCCTACATAAAAATAAATAAATATAAATACTGAAAATAAAATCAAGAAAAAAGTGTGGCCCAAAAATGGTTATGCAAAAGGGGAGGGGGAAATCAAACAGTAAGACAGCGAGAATACACAGAAAAGTCAATATTACAACATTAGTTTCTGATTGTTACTCTTTTCTATGTACATCAAATACTGAAAATCTTTGTTTATGAATACGTAGCATTGACCGACAAAAACAAACAAAATATGATTGGCAGATGATATGGTAAAGCTTGTACAATATACGTGAAAAAAAGGCAATACGACAGGTGACACATTAAGAGGTTTTTCAGGGGTAAAAAATTACTTAATTTGTGCATAATTCCATATGTATATTCTATTGCAGTGAGCACGTGAGAGCTGTTCTATCTCCGAACAGCGAATCACACGAAAATGATGTACAAGCAATCCACCAATGCCTTTCTTAGTATATTCCAAATATGTATAGATATGTACTAAGAGTGGATTTGATAAGTGATATTTAATGGGAGAAGGTGAGTTCGAGAACACCCTTACAAATTATACGCAAATTTCTAAAAACCGGGTGCCAAGTATTGCATACCTTTGATATTATAATATTAAGACAAACAAGGTTTGACTAGAAATGAATGACTATATACACATTTTACAGAATTTCCTTGCATTTCTATGATCACTACCGCTAGGGGAAGTTAGATACTCGTCTTATACACTAAGGTCACAGGCATAGATATTGCTCTAGTGAGGGTGCTCTCTTTGGTCACGAGTTTGACCAGAATATGAGCTTCTGGTGACGAGGCTACAGGTAAAACCTCCGTGCTTTGTCAACATTATCGACAGCTCAATCAACAAAGTTACAAAAATATGACAACTGCCAAATCAATTGGATTTGTCCGTGTAAACGATCACGTGACATGTGCATTTCTTCATCCGATTAACAAAAAAGGAAACGGTTTTAAGTAAGCCAAGTTGATTTTTGTGACGACAAACTGCGTCACAGAAAATAATTATAATAATATTTTGTACATTCGATAATACAAAATGTCCAATATTTCTTTCTGTTCATGTTACAACAGAGTATAACAATACCACAATTACAGATTTATTAAAATAGGATTATTACGAAACCTCTGCACACTTGTAGATTCTTTTGTATATAAGAAAAACTTTGATGATTAATTCCTCACAAAAAATCAGTTTAAACACCTTTTTAAGTCAAACTAAAGATATATTTTAATTGAGCAGTTGCAGATATTTACACTTGATCCATATCAGTACAACATCAATACAACAGCTTTAAGGTAAAGTGTGGGAATATGCGGAGTCGTATTCGATTAGAAAATGGTGTTATACAATGTTAGAATAGTAAATTAAAATTATGACTCTAGAACTAATATATTTGACTTTAAGCTTATATATTTTTCAACAGCATATGACCCTTTCTTAGATGAACGCACTAGTGATGTCAAAGCTCATACAGAGCAAAGATAACTGAAACAGGTATTTATTTACACGTTATTTCGAGCAGGACGCCATCATGTGCACTAAAACTACAACAGACACAATCAAACACACTCCATTAAGTCAAGTAAAAATCAACTGCTTCTCATCTGGTGCACAACAGCTACAGCAGCTGAAAGAAATTCTTGCATCGCGTGTACATCGGTCACAACAAGCAGAGCCAGACGTCCCTCAGCAGGTGCACAATAGTTAGAGCAGACTGAAAGAGATTTCTGTATCGCGTGCACAAAGGTCATACAAAATATAACCAGATGCCCTTCAACAGGTGCACAACAGTTACAGCAGACTGAAGGAGATTTCTGAATCACGTGTACAATGGTCACAACAAGCAGAGCCAGACGTCCCTCAGCAGATGCAGTTACAGTAACTGATTGAAAGATCCTGCATCGTATGCGTGCAATTGTTGCAATAAACATAATGAAACACCCTTCATCTAATGTACAATAGCCTCAGATAATTAATTGAAGTCATTCTTCATAATGTGGCTTCTCTACACATACTAAAAAGCGTCTTGCCCGAAGCATCGCGTAAATAAATAACTACATATTTTAAGTAGTAAAAACATGCATGTGCATGTTCTATCGATAATGTTTTTTACCACAACATTTCTCTTACTTCCATTGTAGTTACGCTATAATTACACATGAAATGTGTTCTGCAATATCAAATTAACAGTGCCTAAATAAAGCAATTCTGATTTTCCTCTCTAACATTGTTTGTAGTAGCACTTTAATATAAAACACTTTGAGACAACTGAAGTGCTACCCTAAAACGACAGTTCCTAGTATAACTTGAAGTAACTGGCACCACGATTTTAATGTTGTAACATCTCTTTAAACTTAGCTTAAGTTTGTGAAGTTTCAAATATAACTGAAGCAGATTACCACCTCAAAATAAGGTTGTAACAGTTTTAAGTGAACTTTGACCCAACACGAATTACTGAGTTACTGAAAATTAGCTTTTTTACTTCTGTCCTACATTGTGACACGAAGTTAAACGTTTTTTACTCCTGTCCTGCATTGTGATATAAATTTAAAAGTTTTTCACTTCTGTCTAACATTCTTTAATACTACATTGTGACATGAATTTAAAAGTGATCCATATTTTTGGTCACGCTTTTATAAACTGATGAAGCAACTATGCTCATCTTAAATTTTTATGGCGTCATTATTAACATTATGTGTTCAAGCAATTACAGTGAATTGTGACTATCGTTTCAAATCCTGCATCATTGCTACATTAACAGGATTTATGCTCATATACGATAATTACATTATCAACATTTTGTGTTCAAGCAGTTACAGTGAATTGTGACTATCATTTCAAATCCTGCATCATTGCTACATTAACAGGATTTATGTTCATATACGATAATTACATTATTAACATTGTGTGTTCAAGCAGTTACAGTGAATTGTGACTATCATTTCAAATCCTGCATCATTGCTACATTAACAGGATTTATGTTCATATACGATAATTACATTTCTATATAAATATTTTCAACAAAATATAAGAAATATTTAAAAGTAAACACTAGTAAAAGATTCTAAATTCCAGAGAAGTGTCAAAAAGTGTCATAATAATTAACACTTATCAAAGTAAGTAAACTTAGCCAAATGAATATAGTGACCAACATCAAATTATTTCATTCACAAAACATTTCTTAAACATTGATTGCTACAGACTAGATTCAATATTTTATCACAATGTAAAACATGACACAAATAATGCAAGTTATATCACAAGAAAATTAACAAACAATTACTTCTAACAAGTAAGTCCCTCCTTACAAAATATAAAAGATTTAATATCTGTATTTTCTAACTTTCGGAAAGTATCATCAAAGCAACTTAATGTGGATAAACAATACAATTTTCACGTCTGATGTATTACACATAAGCCATCCTTAAAATGAGCTATTAGAAAACGTTTACATATGATTTTGGTGCTAATTCAAATGCTTTGAAATTACTGATAACACCGGCAGTGTTTTTGTTTTTGACTCTAAGCTTAAAGTCCAAATTAAAGGGAAAAAAAGATACTGATGTTGAAAAAATTTAAAACTTCTTATCTTGTGAACTTGGAAGAAACTTAAAAAAAAATAGCAAGATATTTTTTATCTGAACCAGTTCGTAAGAGTTCGAACGTGACTAATATTTATGAAAGTGAGATAATGATTACCTATAAAACATTTGCCAAGAAAACTGTTTAATTGAAGAATCTTAAAATTAATTAAAATGCACATTATCATCACAACAACAACAACAAGTAAATAATATATAATAGATTCAGCTATCACATAAGTTTAAGCCATCACATGATATGATTTGGTACAATGTACTGGTTACTCAGTCATTTAAATAAGCAAAAAGAAAATAATAAACAACGCATTATAAAAGATATATTTAAGTAATACTTATTTTTTAGGCATTCCTGCATATGTACTATCAGACAAGTTTGATCAGTGAGTTTTATGGAAGTAAAACAAAACTTTTATCTACTTGGTGCGATTACCACACATGAACTAATGCTTGAAAACGTCATAATTCTAATTTGTTTTTTATTTTCTAAGCGCTCCCGCTTTTAATTAATTGATAAAGAGTCTGCTTTCGGTAAAATAGAAATGCTTATAAATAGGCCCGAACTCTAAAAGACTACAGCACAAAGTGTGTAAAATTTCAAAGTATTTTAGATTTAACTTAAGTACTGTGCTATGACTAGAATTATTTTATAAATACAAACTAAGTTATACAATTTACATAAATAAAAATGGCTTTAAATGGTGAACTATTTCAGAAAGAAACGAATGTATGGTTATTGATAAATTAGCAAAAGATTACTAAAGAAATAATAAATGACTTTTGGTAAAGATCAACAAAGTTAAAACACCTATTCATGTAAGTATGCTTAACAACAAAGTTAAGACACCTATTCATGTAAGTATGCTTAACAGCAAAGTTAAAACACCTGTTCATGTAAGTATGCTTAACAGCAAAGTTAAAACACCTGTTTATGTAAGTATGCTTAAGACTTATATTATCGTACCACGAAAATAACTGATGAAAAGACTAGGTTGTTAAATTTTGAAATATGAGATTTGATGTCAGTCACACTGATAAATTCAACTTTTTTTTTTTTCAGCTCTGTAAAGTTAGTATACAACTAATACTGGCTTTATTTTACAGATAATCTAATTTTCCACCGATATGTTTCTTAAAGAAGTATTTTATTTTGATTTCTCTCGTTTTTATATAATATTTTGAACAAAATTTAGTTTACTGAGGTTCAAAGAAAACAGAATAAAGAATAAGTAAACGAAAACCTAAATTCACATAAAAACAAGAACCTTGCTCGAATTTAAAAAATGAACAATTTATGTACATATGTATTGACTGTATTCCAGCAAACCAGGAGCGAAATTATGCCACCAGAGTTCTCTGGAATACTAAGTACGATTCAATATAGTGTTAGTTATGGTTTGTTCTTTAAGTTTTCACAAGAAAGTACACATTATCTACCAATATACTGGCCTATAAATATTTTCTTATTCGGCCAGCATCTCAATTACTGGCATTGATAACGCTACCATCTGCTGTCATACAATCGTCTTATACTCTGAAGGCGTGACGTCAAATTTTGATAGTTACAAACACACAACACAAAAGAGCTGAACACTAGCTATGCGCAAATCTACATCTTTCCTAAAGTTACATAAAGCATACATGCTATCTTCAGGCCGTGCAAATCTTGTAATTTGTTGAATACTTACTGCCACTTTGAGCCATTTTTATACTATATTTGTGAATCAGCTACCTCCGCTGTCACACAGACGGTGGTTAATGCTAAGCTCAACTAATCCATTATTATGACTTGTGTCGAAACTGTTAGGCTTAGCCCGTGATAGAAATTTCAGAAATCAAGTTATCTTTCACGCTAAGACAATAAAAAATGTTTTGCTTGCATCCTGATGATATAGCTTATTATTATTATTATTTTTTTCACGTCGAACGTTTATAATTTTGTCATCCCCTCCGTCGGGTAAAATAATGCTCACTAAATAGTTTGTCTCAACAGAGGGCTTCGCTAGTAACTGATACTATACAAGGTTATGACGAAGTAGCAATACTGGCGGGATTTGCATAAATCAGGGTTGGCGTTGGGGCTGAAGTTGGTGACGGTGTGGTGGTGCCGATGTTCATCATAGGAGTTCCAGATAAGTTGATACCTTTGTTACTGATTGAATCACCACCAGATTTGGACTTGTCTTCATCTAGCCACTTATCCTGTGAGCGTCGTCTAGCGTTCATGAAGAAATTTCCCACCGTGCTCAGCTCCAACCCCAGTTGTTGAGCAATTGTGATTTGCATCTCTTTGGAGGGGCGTTTGGTTTCCTTAAAAATAGCTTGCAGAGTACGGCGCTGTAGGTCTGTAAAAACCAATCGGGGTTTCTTGGGCTGATTGGGGTTTTTCTGATGTTGCTGTTGCTCTTCTTTCCGCTTGCAGGCTAAACCAAAATAAAAAATATATATCTAAAATAGTCCATAAAGCATCAAAATACGAAACATATTAAGTGGAGAAAATTTTAAGATACAGTGTTTATAAGTATTAAAAATGCAAAGTTTGCAAATAAGATCACTTTTTTAAAATTAAGTTTTGATTAGTCAACAGAAAAACGTTTGGAACGCTGTTGAAAATACTTTACTGTGCCAACAAAATGTAAATTATTTAGAAGTAAGGTTCTATTTGGTATGAATATTGTTCATACTAACGTCTTTCTCTATACTTTTATGTTTGGTATCTAATGAGTTAATTCCCTTCAGTACCATTTGTGAGTTATGATTAAGCATTTTAAAGCAGCTAAACTACTTGTTAATCCAAAATAAATAATAAATTATTGATATTTTGAATATATTCGGAATAGAAGTGGATAATTCGGTTTTTGCAAGGTTACGCCTACAGAGTACCTTATGTTGTTTTTATTTGGAAGTTTATTGACAATCCTAAATGAATATTACTTCATCATAACATTCGTAAAAATTGATATTTCTGTTTAAAGTTATAGTGATATATAAAACGTAAAACTTGTAAATTATTAAAGGAATAGTTGGGATCCTTCAATCTATCTGTTTATATGGCAAATGGGAGCGAGTTTTTAATCATTCTAATATAAATGTGCTATTAGATATAAATAGATGTAACATACCATATATGTGTGTGTGTGTGTCAGTATATTACATTTTAATTGTTACCTTGATGACAAGTCAATGGTATATCACAAGAAGAGAAACATTAATGTTTCGTATTAACTAATTCCTATTTTGTATGCTTAGTCAGAAGCTAATAATTACGCATGAAATCATATATGTTCTTGCGCCCATTTTTTAAAACATGCGAACGAATATTTCTAATTGAATGCGCAATTATTGAATTTTGACTAATTATAGAGCGTCAGTGAACTCCAATAATAAACAAATAAAGACAAACATGATGGTATATGATAGTATTATCTAGCATATTCAACTACAGAAATCCTTTTGAAACTTTGTTTTTAAACATCGCTAATTATGTGATTGGCGCTGTGTTTTTGAAACCTAAAGAAACCGGGAATTAAAAAAAAACACATTTCGATAGAATTACTAAAAATTAGCTATTGTACAAGCGACATTCAAAGTGACTTAAAAAGACTTCTAAGTCTCTAACTATTATACTTGAACTAAAAACAAAGCGCTGGATTACTCTTCAGGAAGTTAAAAGGGTGTCTATGTAGATTCCAAGGCTTGTGGTTTATTGTGAAAAGATAGAATGTTAAAAATGCTCCTGTTTAAAAACAACAACAATAAAAAGTATATAAATGGATTCCTGGAAAAATAGTTGGGTAGATAATCCAAATGAGAAGCTTCAAAGGTCAATGGGACAAAAACAGGATGTCATCAGTACGAAAAAATATCATTCTCTGCTGACAAAAGTAATGCCAATTCAATGTTTCAGTTAATCATAATCAATCTTTTCTTTTCTTCTTGAAACCTAACCGTATAGTTTGATGTTCTTATTCAAATTTTATTCTCAAAATTACCTATCAAAATCATCGATATTTTTAAATTGTAATAACATCAACTTTTGAATATTTTCTAATACCAATTATATACTTTAAGAGAGTGCAAGAAGACTGATAGCTAAGCTCTCAGGAACTCGGTGACAAGTGAGACTTCTTTTAGAAAGGCCTCATGAATAAAGAAATGGAAACGAAACTTCTTTATGTAAGAATGAAGAAAAACTAGAAACACGAGATCGTTTTATTTATCGTGCATAGCTATAAAGGCATAAAAAGCAATATCTTCACTCATAAAGACGACTTGATCGTAGGAGATTACTCCAGGAAGCGGTAATGAAATTTGTTAACCAAGTTTTTTAGGTCGCCTCATTTTCAACGATCGAAGTGCATGTTTTGGATTTTTCACATTTGAAGAGTTAGTGGCAGTGAGTTCATCTTCTGGTTAAGAGTTAGTTTTATTAGCTCAATGGCAAGAGATTTTATCATTCTAAGCGGAAATGTGGTGTTGTGCTTATCTTCAGTTTCTTCTGCGTCATCCTCTATTCCCCGGGAAGAATTACAACTTAGAATGCTAGAATCTTTTGTCGTTAAGCTAATAAAACCAGCTTTTAACCAGAAGATGAGCGCAATGTCACTACATCTTCAGCTGTGGAAATGTAAAAAAAAAGAAAAAAGAATAGAACATGAACTTCGATCGTTGAAATTTGTTAGTAAGATCTCTTAGCGACAGTATACGTTATTAGGTTGGAGGCGGGGTAGTTGGGGAAGTACACAAGCTTGCGACATGGCACGAAAAGTACTGCAGTGGAGGAGAGGGTGGTCCTCGTTCGCGTGCCATTTCGTAGCCAACACACCAGAGAACCGAGCCATGGGAACTCAGCCACCTGCCGAAACTTGCTGCGTGACAAGCGCCCCACAGGGCGAAGAACAGGTTCGTGTAGGGGGGCTGCTTAGTGGATGATGGAGAACATGCAGTTTCTCCTTCTCTTTCTAGTCACTGACGCTTCATGATTTTAACCACAACCTAATAACTCGTATCTTTTGTAGATAGGTTTGTCACGGGTTGAACTAGTTTCGAGGATTTTCATTATTGCATATTCTACGGCATAAATCAAGAAACTTGAAATATAATTATACCACTCTCCTACCAGCATATCTTATTATGTAAGATTATCCGAACTGTTTCATTTAATCGTAGTTATGGATCGTGAATAGTCTCAGCTTGACATACACAGTACTTTTACTAAAATGATTTATTAAAAAGTTATTTCATTTCGTTAAATAAACTACCTCATTCCGAGTGATATCTGACTCGGGAACTGTGAATACATTACCGCGACTTGCGTCATTATTACAACCTGTGTGAATACCTTATCGCGACTTTGTCATGCGTCATTATTACAACCTGTGTGAATATCTTACCGCGACTTGCGTCATTATTACAGCCTGTATTAGAATTTTCCTACTTATTTCTCTGGATTGCTTACATACTTTGACATGTATAATTATACTTTTTTAGAACACTCTGCGAAGAAAGTTAATAACAATAAACTCGTTTTGCTGAATGTAGCGTTTCTAATAAATAAACAAAAACTCAAAAAGTTCCTTTATTAAATCATAAGCAATGAAAACCCATTAATAAATCTGGGATCTTCGCAGGTCAAACTTACACATACAAACACACCCACATGCATAAATATATTGGTTCATGATAATCGGCTACCTTGTAGCATGGACAAAATGTGACTTAGAAGATCAACAACAACATACTGTATGATCTAGGGAATAAAATATGTGATTATCGTATAAACAACGTCGTACGTTCATACAATATAACTGTCGTAATAAAGCAAAGGATGGGGATTATGACACACAACCCTCGTAAAGAAAAGTGGTCATAGGACACCAAGTAAAAAATAACGTAGATACAGTAGTCTATCGTAACAAAGCAAGAGAACATCAAATGAACGATAGTGGTTACAACACACAACCCTCGTCATGAAAAGTGGTCATAGGACACCTGTTTTAATGAAGTAAAACACCAAGTAAAAAGTAACGTAGATACAATAGTCTATCGTAACAAAGCAAGATAACATCAAATGAACGATAGTGGTTGTAAAACACAACCCTCGTGATGAAAAGTGGTCATAAAACACCAAGTAAAAAATAACGTAGATACAGTAGTCTATCGTAACAAAGCAAGAGAACATCAAATGAACGATAGTGGTTATAACACACAACCCTCGTGATGAAAAGTGGTCATAAACATCAAGTAAAAAATAACGTAGATACAGTAGTTTATCGTAACAAAGCAAGAGAACATCAAATGAACGATAGTGGTTGTAAAACACAGCCCTCGTGATGAAAAGTGGTCGTAAAACACCAAGTAAAAAGTAATGTAGATACAGTAGTTTATCGTTACAAAGCAAGAGAACATCAAATGAACGATAGTGGTTATAACACACAACCCTCGTGATGAAAAGTGGTCATAGGACACCTGTTTTAATGAAGTAAAACGTTAAGTTCACAATAAAACCGTGAAGGAACATACATAATCAAATAAATAGTAATGTTCACATTACACATTAAAGTAATGGAACACTAACACCAGTGCTCATAATATACCCGTCTATTCAAAAATGGGATCTAACAAAAAAGTAACCGTCATAACATACTCGTATTAATGATTCATGAAAAGTAAACTAGTAAACGAACGTTAGTAACCATAAAACATGAAAGGTTATTTTTCATGCAATTTGAAAATACAAATAGCGTCTCAAGCAGTACTGTGTGAGTAAAGGAATCAAATCACCTTATTTTGTTACTACTATTCATTTGATGTTTTACATCGTATTACTTTATAATTACGACAGCTTTATTATAACCACTACAGCGTAGCTGCTGTTTTAACATTCCGTTATTTTTGTTACTACGATGAAGTGTAATGTTTTAACAATTTTATATAAGTCGCTTAAAATCATAATTAGGGTTAACGGTAATAACACAATATCATATATCTATTTAATTACCAATTATTTATTGTTAATATATTATTTTTATTTGAACTAACTTTATTCATCATTCAGAAGAAATGGTGAACCAGCGAACAACAAATTAATATTAGTGGTCTTAAAATACCCAAAGTAACAAATTAAAGAGTTGTATGATTTACAAATTAACAGTACTATTCAAAATTCAATCTTCGTAACAAACCAATGACGTGTATAATATCAAATGAACAGCGATTTATACAAATACACCTGCCGTAACAATGTAAAGATTATCACATGGACAGTACTGGTTATAATACATTTGTAGTGACAATATTAGGGAACCAAAACCATCATATAAATAGTACAGTAACAAATAAGAATAACGTAAAATCATTGATTGATTACTAGTAGTCATAATACGTCAGTCACCTATTATTATAAAAATAATGAAAATTAAAT